GAAAAGCTACCCTAACAGGGTAGCTAACAGGTATAGCGTGAAAAGCTACCCTAACAGGGTAGCTAACAGGTATAGCGTGAAAAGCTACCCTAACATTATACCTAACAGGTATAATGAACACTATTTGGCTGATAGGTAAATTTATAACACTGACTCAAGCATAAGAAACTGATACATGAAACCAAAAACATTTGTACCACCATAATATTCTGACATTAAAAAAAACTCATCTGAATGATTTTGGACTGGTGGGCACAGTGGCTCATGCCTGTAATCCCACCATTTTTGGAGGCTTGGGTGGGAGGATCCCTTGAGGCTAGAGTTTGGGACCAGCCTGAACAACATAACAAAACCCCATCTCTACAGAAAATTAAAAATATTAGACAGGCATGGTGGTACCTGCCTATGGTCTGAACTATTCAAGAGGCTGAGGCAGGAGGATCATTTGAGGCCAGCAGTTTGAGGCTGCAGTAACCTAGGATGACCCCACTGTACTCCATCCTGGGTAACAGATTGTAAGACTTTGTCTCTTTCTTTTTTTTTTCTGAGACAGAGTCTCAAGTTGTCACCCTGGGTAGAGTGCCATGGTGTCATAGCTGATGGCAACCTCCAATTCTTGGGCTCAAGTGATCCCCTTGCCTCAGTTTTTCTATTTTTAGTAGAGACGGATCTTGATTTTGCTCAGGGTGGTCTGGAACTCCTGAGCTCAAGCAATCCTCCTGCCTCGGCCTCCCAGAGTGCTAGGACTAGAAGCACGAGCCACCGCACCAAGCCAAGACCTAGTATCTTTAAAAAAACAAACAAAACAGGGGTGGGTGCGGTGGCTCACGCCTGTAATCCCAGCGCTCTGAGAAGCCAAGGTGGGTAGATTGCTTGAGCTCTGGAGTTTGAGACCAGCTTGAGCAAGAGTAAGATCCCATCTCTAAAAAATAGACAGGCACTGTGGCAGGCACCTGTACTCCCAGCTACTTGGGAGGCTGAACCAAGAGAATTGCTTGAGTCAGGAGTTTGAGGTTGCTGTGAGCTATGACACCATGGCACTCAACCCCAGGGCAACTGAGTGAGACTCTATCTCTAATAAAAATAAAAAACAAACAAAAAAGATTCTGAGGGCTGGGTGTCCGCAGCACAGTAGCTACAGTGTCAGCCACATACACCAAGGCTGAAGGGTTTGAACCCAGCCCGGGCCAGCTAAACAACGACAACTGCAACAAAAAAATAGTTGGGCATTGTGGAAGGCGCCTGCAGTCCCAGCTACTTGGGAGGCTAAGGCAAGAGAATCGCCTAAGTCCAGAGAGTTTGAGGCTGCTGTGAGCTGTGATGCCACTGTACTCTATTGAGGGTGATATAGTGAGACTCTGTCTCAAAAAAAAAAAACAAAAACAAAAAGAAAAGAAAGATCCCGAGGAAATTTTTAATCTGATTAAACCTCCCTCTCCATTGGTTCCTGAATAGCACCAGCAGTTGAACTTCTGACATCTACCTTCTTAGAAGCTGGCAACTCACCTTCTCTTTTTAATTTTTTTTTTTTTTTTGAGACAGAGCCTCAAGCTGTCCCCCTGGGTAGAGTGCCGTGGCATTACAGCTCACAGCAACCTCCAACTCCTGGGCTCAAGCGAGTCTCCTGCCTCAGCCTCCCAAGTAGCTGGGACTACAGGCGCCCGCCACAACGCCTGGCCATTTTTTGATTGCAGCCATCATTGTTGTTTGGCGGGTCCGGGCTGGGGATTCGAACCCACCACCTTAGGTGTATGTGGCTGGCGCCTTAGCCTGTTGAGCTATAGGCGCCGAGCCCTCTTTTTAATTTTTTGAAACAGTGTATCTTTCTGTGCCCTGGTAGAGTACCATGGTGTCATAGCTCCCAGCAACCTCAAACTCCTGGGTTCAGGCGGTCCTCTTGCCTCTGCCTCTGGAATAGCTGGGACTATAGGCACCTGCTACAATACCTTGTTCTTAGGTTGCTCTGGAACTCCTGAGCTCAAGCAATCCTCCCACCTTGGCCTCCCAGAGTGCTAGGATTATAGGTGTGAGCCACTGTGCCCGGCCAACTCACCTCTTTCCCCAGACCTCCAGCTCCACCTTGCGCAGACCAGGCCTCACTGGCCACCTCCTGTTGTCCCTTAGCCCAGCTGCACAACCCACCTTCCCAAGCCCCAGCCTCCTCAAGAGCCAGCCCTTGCCTCTCTGCCATCCATGCCCGTGGGTCCCTGTTCCTCATGTCACAGGGCACCAAGGCAGGGCCTGTAGCCCTGCTCATGCCTTTCCTGGTGCCTCTTCTCCTGCTGCCTAAGCACCTCGGAGCCTCTGGACTTGCATCAGGCTTTTCCCCTTGCATATCTTATGATGTCTACACTCAGGATGGTGAGTAGACTGTAGATGGACCACCATGATTGCCCCCCACCTTCCCCTTCTCCTGGGCCCCTCACTCCTCTTCCCCAGTGCAGGATATCCTCCTCATCTTGGTTGGTCACAATTCACCACTTTCTGTCTTTGTGCAGCCTGGGGGGTCTCTCTGAGCCACAGGCCGACTGCTCCCTCCAGTTTCCACCTTTTACTCTGGTCTCTCCTCACTCAAGGACAGACCTGGTTCATCTTCATCTCCCATTTGCCTCAACCCACGGTGTGTTCTCCACTCCAGTGTCACCACAGGAGCCAAAACTCTCACCTGGCACCACATCGGTCCCCCCATGGGGCATGGCCCCAAGAGAACTCCTTCCACGGCAGCTGCTTTTGCCCTCTTACCTCCAGGGCATGCAAGGACCTCCACAAAGTGGTATGGGAATGTGCCTTTCTTTAGCTTCAGGATCATGTTCTGGATGTTCCGAAAACCATATGCAGCCGCAAAGCGCAACAAAACCTCCCCATCCTTTTCAAGGGTGACCTCTTGGAAATCTTTGTTTCTACAAAATGAACAAAGTGGGTTTTGGTCTGTCAAGTTCTTTATCTGTGACTCAAGGATGATTTTCTATTCTACGTTTGGAATTTCAGCAAAATAAAAAGTCTGAATAAACTAAAAAAAGGCCTTCTGATTTTGCACTGTAAGCTCTACACAGAACAGCCTCACACACAGAAGCAAATGCCCCATGCAAGGTTGGCTTTAGGTGGTCTGCCGGGTGCTGGCCACAGGTGCACACGGGCTGTGGGTGCTGCCTCTGCTAACTGCCGCACCTCAGGGCTCGGTAAGTGACTTCCTCCACATCCTCATTGAACAGCTCCTTGGCCGCATATCTGAAGACATGTACCAGGTGACCATCTGAGCTGGCTCCGTCGTGGCGCATCACCATTTCCTCCTTTGAGTCGCCAAACCTCATCAGGCAGAGGAAGGTAAGTCCTTCATTAGTGCTGATGCAATGAAAGAGGAAAGCCAGACTGCCTCAGGGCATGTAGCTGCCTCAAGAACTGGGAATGTCAGGGTGACCAGGAAGACCTGTCTGCCTGCCTGCACCCGACCCAAGACAAATACCCCAGGTCACCGCAAGCCTGAGCAGTTTCTTAAATCCTATAAACTTCAGTCCCACCTTCCACAAAAGGGGCATAAATGAAGCAACTGGGTCAAGGAGCTTAGGGGAAGATACATGCTGCTGGTCTTTGCAGCACTCTCTGCCCTGCTCCTGGGATGTAACAGGAGCCACAGGCTCTGATGGGTGTCAGGGTCCAACCCATGGCAGAATCCAGCCCGCTGCTCTTGGAATAAAGGGATCTGAAGGAGCTGCTTCATTTCCCTGGAGGCAACACAGACTGTCAGGAGTAGCTGACATCTGGAAGGAAGGGTGATGGGCTCTGAGTGAGAACACAGTGGTTGGTGCTTCTCCTCGAGGGTTCAGGGTCATGGAAGCCCACCAGCTCCCGACTCTCTGGCACCCCTGGGGAATGGCATTCCAGGGTTCTGCTCCCATCCAATTCAATAGCCAGGAAGGTGGCCAAGGGCTGTGGGGGACCACACTCCAGTGCTTCTCACATCCTCATCCACTAGCAACCCTACCCCAGAAGCCACTTACAGAGTGTCCACGGTAGCATCCTGCACAGACAGGTCACTTTGTGCCATTATTTGAGCAATTTCACCTACATGCAAATAAGCAACATGAGACACCCTCAGAGAACACAGATGGCCCCCACAATAGAACACCACACTTTCCTCCCCCCCAAAGGAAATTCGACACTAGTAATCTCGGATGCCCTCCCTGCCATAAAATCTCCTTCTCAGAGAGTAGGAGCCCATCTCAAGGGCAAAGCAACACTAATAAAATTAAAAACACTAATGAAATACAAAATGAAGCCAGGCGCAGTGGCTCACACTTGTAATTCCAGCATTCTGGGAGACTGAGGCAGGTAAACCATTTGAGCTCAGTAGTTTGAGACAAGCTTGAGCAAGAGTAAGACCCCATCTCTAGTAAAAATAGAAAAACTAGGTTTGCCACCCATAGCTCAGTGGTTAGGGCACCAGGCACATATAGCGAGGCAGGTGGGTTCGAACCCAGCCCAGGCCTGCCAAACAACAGTGACAACTACAACAAAAAAAGAGCCCGGGCACTGGCGATGTCGTAGCTCAGCAGCAGCTAACAACTCCTAGGCTCCAGTGATCATCCTGCCTCAGCCTCCCAAGCAGCCCAGACTACCGGTGCATGCCACCACACCCGGTGAGAAGGCGTCTCGCTCTTATTAAAGCTGGTCTCAAAAAAAAAAAAATAGCCGGGCATTGTGGCAGGTACCTGTGGTCCCAGCTACTTGGGAGACTGAAGCAAGAGAATCGCTTAAGCCCAAGAGTCAGAGGTTGCTGTGAGCTGTGACGCCACAGCATTCTACTTAGGGTGACATAGTGAGACTCTG